TGCTGGAAGGGACCCCCCCCTGGGCAGCCCCTGAGCCCCCAGATGTGTTCCAGTACGCCGTGGAGTGCAGCAGCCTCAGCGCGATGCCTGACCTGACCTTCACCATCAACGGGCTGCCCTACACGCTCAGTGCCCAGGCTTACATCCTCGTGGTATGGCTGTGGCTCCCTCAGACCCAAATCCCAGCTGCTCCAGTGGCAGAAGTGGCCCAGCCCCGTGCTGGGAGCTGGCAGCGTGTCCCCAAGGGTGACAAACCCCGCTGGTTTCTGTTTTTCCACCGTTCCTGGGTGTTTCCATGTGCACGAGGCTCTTGGTTTCACCCCCGGCTTTCCATTTCTCCTTCTCCAGGAGTACGATGGTGACACGGCCTTCTGCACCAGCGGCTTCCAGGGCAACGACATCCCCCCTCCCACAGGACCCCTCTGGATTTTGGGTGATGTTTTCATCCGTCAGTTCTACGCCGTCTTTGACCGTGGGAATAACAGGGTGGGGCTGGCCCCCGCCGTCCCTTAGGGCTGTGACATCCGTGGGGCAGGAGAGGAACTCACCTTGGCAGGCCAGTGGATGTCACCACGTCCTCCTCAGTGTCCCCAGGGGGACGAAGACACCCAGGGATGCAGCTGAAGAGCCCAGCAGAAGTTCGGTCCACGCCAGGACGCTGTGATATCAAAATGTCTCGAGCAGCTCTGTGATCTGCTCTGCACATTCTCTGTTTTTGAATCCTGAGCCAATAAAACCTTTAATAAACCCAAACTTCTCACGCTCCTGCCATCAGCAGCCCAGCAGAAATCCTGCACATCTCAAAGGGTTACTCTGGGGGTTAAATCCTCCTTGCCCATGTCCTGCCCTCCTCCCTGTGTGATCCATGGCACTGCCAGGGCTGCACTCCCAGCATGGCTGGAACTTCCCTGGGATTCCCACAGGGGCAGAGAGGAGAGGATGCTTTGGCCAGGTAGAGCAGAAATCCCTGGAGGTGGCTGTGGCCATCCCAGGGGCCTGTGGGAGCACTGGGAATGCACCTTTGCTCAGGTAACAGCTGGTGCTGGCAAAAAAGAAGGTAACAGGGAGCCTGGAAAGACCCTGGGGCTCTTTCTGTGCCACAAAACTCCCGGAGCAACCGGTGATTTCCAAAGAATTTCGCTTTGATTCCCTTGGGGAACTCACAACAACAGCTGTGCTAGGTCGGTCCTTGAAGCCAAAAGGGCAAAGGAGCTGCTGAGCCCTGGGCTGGGCTGGCTCAAAGCCTGGGGGGGCTGTGGGGGGCTGTAGAGGGGCTACTGGCCTTGGGGGTCCCCAGGAGTCACCGTGGCACTCGTGACTTGCTGACAGGAGTGTGACAATGCAGCTGTGGCTCACGAGTGATGCACCCGAGGCAGCGAGAAAGGGAAGCACAAAAAGGTTCTTTTTAGGTTATTTTTAGGTTATTTCTATCCAGGCCTTTGCTCTGTTTCCCCCCTGACCCTGAAGAAAGGCCAGCAGTGCCAAGGCTGGCGTGCTGGAGTGTCCCTGTCCCAGCCCAGCTTGGTGGCTGCTCCATCCTTCCCAGAGCAGAGCAGCCTCCAGGGCTGGGTCTGGGAGCTCTGGAATATTCAGATCTGGTTGTAAACTTTGCAGCTGAGCCTTGTGGTTTGCAATAAAGGGAGATATCTGCCTTACCCAGAGGCACTGATTGTGCTGCTGACCGGTGTGGGCTCGCTGACGTTTCCTGTGTTGACTTCACCCCTGCTGCAGTCCCAGATAAGGTGCTGGGGCAGCTGGACAAAGGTCTCCTGTCCCTCTTCCACCTTAACCCTTAGCACTCCGAGGTGCTGCTGAGCTCGAGCCCAGGGGCTGGGGGGGAGCATCCAGCTCCCCCAGAGTGACAGGGGCCACTCAGTGTCCCCAAACAGCAGCTGGCACTGAGAGCTGGCCTGGCCTGGAGCTGCCCAGGACTGCTCTGGTGCTGTGTTTTTGGGATCTCAGAGCCCTCTCGAGAGGTTTTTTGGGGGGGAAGTTGCTCAAACAAACGCGAGCATCCCAATAAAGAGCAACCCCACTGTCCCCCAATGAGGCTGAACAGCACAGGGAACACTTGGATGCCCTTTGCCTCCTTCCCTTTCCCTCACTGCCACAGCCCTGCAGGGCACAGCCTGTACTCTCCTTGTCCCCACGAGCCTTTCCCCGAGCTGTGTCAGCCCCAGGCTGGGTTTCATCATCTTCCTCACAGTCACGGGCCACAAAAACCCACGCCTTTTCCTCAGAATTGCTGACGTGGGGCAGCACCCGGCACAGGATTGAAGCTGTGGTGGCTGGAGCTGCTTGGCCATCACGTCCTCCCCACCACTGCTCCCACTGCCTTCATCCAGGCACAATCTCAGCCCAGGAGGGATTAGGAGAGCAGGAGCTTTGGGAAAATCCCTTTTTCTGTGAAATCAAACAAAAGCCAGGGCTGAGGGTGATGTACCCTGCTGGGTACAGCCCCCGTGGCCAAAAGCAGAAGTGGCCGTGGGCAGCAGCTGCAGTTTGGGATTGACCACAAACCCCAGTGGCAGCAGCGTGGAGAGGCTTCGATCATCTGATAGGGTGAGCAATCCCCATCCCAGCAGAGGAACCAGGGCTGAAGTTGTTGTGTTGAAGAATAAACTCTCTCTGCAAGAGCAAAGGTGAAGCAGGATGGTGAAAAAAGGCTGAAAACAGGGATTAGGAGAGAGCTGCTCCAGGGAAACGTCAGCCTTTTACCCACCACTGAGGCAGGTTCTCCTGCCTCAGCCCAGCTCCTCCCAGTGCCTGCCCTCTGGGGGGAAAAACAGATTTTTCTGGCCAGACAGGTCCCAAAATTACACCCGGAGAAAAGGGGGAGGAGGGTTTGTCCTGCTGAGTGAAGTGATCCTCCCTGAGATCCCATCAGAGTCTGTAAGGGGAAAAAAAAATTCTACCAAAATGCTGGAAGTGGAAAAGCAAAAGCCAGTGGTCTTGGAGGCATCCCAAAACCTGGGCACGGGGACCACCAGCAACAGATGGGGGACACCCCGCTCCCAGTGCAGAGCCCAAATCCTACAGAGTGCTTGGCAAAGGCACGGGACCTGCCCTTGCACGCTGGGAAGCAGAGCTCTGCCTCCGCAGCCGTGGCCAAGCAGGTTTTCCCACTCCAGAGAACCCCGGGCACCCTCTCGGTGCTGGGATTGCTCCATGGGGGCAGCTGAGATCCCCAAAATCCCATTTATTGATCGAACACGTCCTCCTGCAGATGTCCCTCTTTTTGGGGTGTTTCTGGGGGTGCAGGGATGTGGCACCGAGGGGCTGGAAATGCTCCTGATCCCTGCCTGGAAAAGGAGACGAAGCCACACAGAGCTCCTCAGAGGGATCCCAGCCCCTCCTCCCCCATCCCCAGCTCCCAAATCCCTTTATCCCATCCCAAGATATCAGAGCAAAGTCCGGGATGGCTCCAGGGATGCTCCCCACAGCCCCGCCCGGCTTTTGTCCTCATCCCTCAATAATTGCCCAGCGGGCACGCAGATACAAAGTCCCAGGGAAGTGGCAGAAAGGAACAGAGGGAATTCTGAGCCAGAGGAGAGGCCGAAAATCAATCCCAAATTCCAGCAGCGGAGGAGAATTTTGTTCCGAGCCAGACAGAGCCCCGGAACAGAGAGAAAATCCGTGAACACCCCAGCGCCCGCCCGCTGCTCCGGCAGCCCCGGCGGGATCTCGGCCCCTTTCTGCTGATGTCACGGAGCCCGCAGCCGCTTCCCCGACAGGGCAGGGCAGGGCAGGACAGGGCAGGACAGGGACCCGCCGCCCTTCCCCGGATCCTCCTCCCGCCCCTCTCCCCTCCCCGGGCCGGCTGCAGCGGAGCCGGAGCCGCGGCCGCCCCGGCAGGTGAGCTCTGTGCAGGTGAGTCCCCCTGGGCACCCCAGACCCGCGGAGTAACAGCGAAGAGAAACTCCATTTTGAGCTTTTTGAGCTTCAAAACATCTGGCTTCCCCCCAGCCCAAAAGAAAAAAAAAAAAGCAAAAAAACCCAAAAAAGCTGTTGAAAGGACTGGGACGTTTGTGTGTGCTGAGACACGAGGCTGTGCCTGTGCCGAGGATGCTGCCCAAGGCTGGGCACGGCTGGCAGAGGGGGGCAGGGGGGCCTGGACCCCACAGCTGAAAGCTCCTCGCTGCTGTTCCAAGAGGGAATGGCGCAGGGCTGGCCAGCGCATCCGGGAAAAATGCAGGGATGAGGCTGCCAGCGTTTCCATCCGTGCCTTGGCCGGCGGTGTCGGCTGTGGGGATGGGGCTGCTGGAGCTGCTGGAGCTGCCGGAGGATGCTGGAGGATGCTGGTGCCCCCTGAGGAGGGGGTTTCAGGGATCCTGACCAGGCTCAGAGCATTTGGGGACACTGGGACATCATGGGGACACATCCTGGAGGGAGATTTCGGAGCGCTCCTGGGCGGGGATGCTTGAGGCACCAAGGAATTCCTTGACCCCTGGCTGGGGTCTTCTTTCATAAATTTAATTTTCAGCAGGACCCCAGGCGAGTGTGCCAGGCCTAGGGGGAGGGACTGCGCAGGAGAGGGGGTGGCAGAAGCAGGGAAGTGGCTCCCAGCGGTTTTGAATGGCGATGAACCGGCGAGTCTGGGCGTGCCCCGGCTCCTCGGGAGCCTGGCAAGGGCGGGGACTTGGGCCCGGCTTGGCATGGGGGGACTTTTGGCATGGGAGGATTTTTGGCATGGAAATATTTTTGGCATGGGGGCATTTTTACCATGGGAGGATTTTTGGCATGGAGGGATTTTTGGCATGGAGGGATTTTTGCTATGGAGGGATTTTTGGCATGGGACTTTTTTGCCATGGAGGGATTTTTGCCATGGAAGGATATTTGGGATGAGAGGATGTTTGGAATGGGGGGATTTTTGGCATGGGGAGGGATTTTTGCCATGGGGACGATTTTTGGGATGGGAAGATGTTTGTCATGGAGGGGATTTTTGGCATGGGAGGATTTCTGTTCCCACGACGCCATCCCCACACCCTGCTGAGCCCCCCTGATCCCGCAGGTCCTGTCCATGGACGCCAGCAAGAAGGTGGATCTGAAGATCATCATCATCGGAGCTCTGGGGTAAGTAAGGAGCTGGCGAGGGAGGGAAGTCCCCTGAGTGTGCTGGCTGTCCCCTACCCCTGCTGGGAGTGACCAGAGCCGTGCAAAGCCTCACCTGTGCCCCTTTCCTCGTCCCCAGCGTGGGCAAGACCTCTCTGCTGCACCAGTACGTGCACAAGACGTTCTACGAGGATTACCGCACCACGCTGGGCGCCAGCATCCTCACCAAGGTCCTGGCTGTGGACAGCACCCCCCTGAAGCTGCAGGTGAGCTGGCACTGCCCAGGGTGCCCACCCTGACCCCAGGACCGTGTGGGTGTGGGTGTCCCAGCCTGGCCTGCTGTGCACACCGGGGTCATGAGGTGCAGGGCTGGAAGTGCAGAGTCCGATTTTCAGAGCTGATTTTAAGAACTTAGTTTCGAGACTCCGATTTTCAGAGTCCCGTTTTCAGAGCCTGATTTTCAGAGCTGATTTTGAGAGCCCGATTTTCAAAGCTGGTTTTGGGACCCCGATTTTCAGAGCTCTATTTTCAGAGCCTGAGTTTCCGACCCTGATTTTCCGAGCTGATTTTCAGAGCCTGATTTTCCGAGCTGGTTTTGAGACCCTGATTTTCAGCATTCATAAACTGCGCTGGGATCCCACAGGAGTTCTGGGGGCTCAGCACCCACCCTGCTCGTGTCGTGTGTCCATCTGTGCCCTCCTCTGCCCTAGATCTGGGACACAGGGGGCCAGGAGCGATTCCGGTCCATGGTGTCCACCTTCTACAAAGGCTCAGACGGCTGCATGCTGGCCTTCGACGTGACAGACAGGGAGTCCTTTGAGGCCCTGGACAACTGGAGAGATGATTTCCTGGACAAGGTCATTCCCAGGGAACACGATTTCCCCATGGTCGTGCTGGGGAACAAGATAGACCTCAGTGACCGGCAGGTAAGGGTGGAGGAGGGAGAGCGGGATTAGCAGTGCTGGAGTCACCATTCCTGGAGGGATTTAAAAGTTGTAAAAGTGTGGCACTTGGGGACATGGTTTAGTGCTGGGTTAATGGCTGGACTTAGTGATTTTGAAGGTCTTTTCCCACCTAAACAATTCCACGGTTGTATGGTTGGGATGCTGTAGGGTTTTCACCTCAGAACCTTTTCCCTCTCCTCACATGAGAACCAGAGCTCCAGGCAAGGAGCTGCCACCTCCCCCAGGGCCAGCAGGGGATGAGCAGCGTCCTCCTGCTGCTCCTTGGGGCACAGACTGTCCCCAGCAGGAATGCCAGTGCCAGCACTGCCTGGATGGGTGACGAGGGTCCCCTGTCGCATCCCTGAGCTGTGGCTCCATCCTCCCATCCCGCAGGTGCCCAAGGAAACAGCCTCAGCCTGGTGCAAGGAGAAGGACATCCCGTATTTCGAGGTCAGTGCCAAGAACAACATCAACGTGGCCGAAGCTTTCGAGACCCTGGCGAAGCAGGCGCTGAGCACGGTGAGCATCCTCCAGCTCCGAGCAGTGCTGGGGGAGGATTCGGGAGGGAACCGAGCTCAGCCGGGGCTGCTCTGACAGAATCCTCCCGTACGGAGCAGCTCCTGCCGCAGCGGAGAGCTCGAGCAGTGAGAAGGGCGGCGATGCTCGATCCTAAATCAATAGGGGCAGGAATTGCCGCTCCCTTTTGGCGCAGCGATGGGAACGTGCGGCACCCGCAGCGCGCCACCACTGTCCTCTAGCGGCCGTGGCACGGGGACATCGGTGTCCCCAAGCCCTGCGCTAGGTGGCTTTTCCCTGGATTTTGCCTTTGATCACAAGTCAAGGCCGAACCTCAGCGCTCCGCAGCTCGCTCAGGCCGGCCCTGAGCTGGGGTCACTCATTCTTCCCCTTCTCCCTTTTTGTTTTTTTTTTTCCAGTATAAAGGGATTTTTGAGAGCTATTTGACCGACTCCATCAAGCTCACTCCCAACGACAAGCCCAAGCAGAGCTGCTGCTGACCCCGCCTTGCCCAGGGCTGGAGCCGTGCCCGGGGGTCCGTGCCCGCTGCCCACCCCAGCCTGGGACTGGGACTGGCCATGCCCGGGCACAGGGTGGCCACCGCTGGACACACCAGGACCTGCTGCTGCCTGCACATCCCAGGGCTCTGGAGCTGCTCTCCCGAGGCTCCATCACTCAGTGTCACGGTGGCCCTGTCCCCCCTCGAGCTGGCACCCGAGCGGGCGATGTCCCTGCGGTGACAGTGCCAGGCAGGCGGGCAGTGCTCCCGATGTCACCACCCTCCCTTCCCAGGGCACAGCCTGGTGGCCCCAGGGCTCTCAGGGTGGGTGTGGACTGGCCTTGGGGGACAATTGGGGCTGGTGGCCTTGGCACAGGGCCCTCCTGGCACCAGCCACTGTGGAGGCAACTACTCCGTGCCTCAGTTTCCCCTCCTCTCACACACATCCCCCATCAAACACTTCCCCCTCCTGACCCACTGGGGAGGATTCTCAAAAAAGCACTTTGTCAGGGGTACTATTTTTTTTTTTTTAAGGAAATTAAATATTTCATTTCTATTTATGTGTTGCAAAATGCTCCCCAGGTCCCGCAGCAGGAAGGTGGGGTGGGGGCTCCAAACTCCCTGAGCCCGTTCAGCTTCTCAGGGCTGGGGGACGCATTTTGGATCTGGCTTTTTTTTTTTTTTTTTTTTTCTTTTTTCCAGTGCGAATTTCGGGTCAGGGGAGAGAGAAGAGGTGTGAATGGGTGTGCAGAGGGGGTTTGGGGGCCTGGCCGGGGCGGCTGTCGGCAGAGGGAGCCCGCTGGGAGCAGAGCCCGGCTCCTGCTTCCCTTCCTGCATCCATCCCGTGCGCTCCGGGCACCTCCCAGCAGCCGGGAGGCACCTGGGGCTGCAGCATCCCCCTGGCCTGGGTGGGCTCCGATTGCCAGGAAGGTCACCAGGGACCTCCTGCCCTCCTGCCATCCCCTCCAGACCGACTGCAGTGGTCCCACAGAGCTGCCCTGGCATCACCCGGAGCTGGCGCTGGGGACAGCGGCCGAGGGTGGCAGTGCCAGGGCAGGGCAGGGGCTGGCAGGGGAGCTCAGGAAGGTGAAACCTGAGCGAGGGCTGGGCACGGGGGGCGTGGGGGCTGCAGAGCTGGGGCTGGGGCTGGGGCTGGGGCTGTCTGGAGAGGAATGGGGAGTTCCCACCCTCGTCTTTACGCAACCTCCGCCTGTTTATTTGGGCACCGGGCCGGGGAGAGGATTTGTCCCTTCCTTTCGGGAGGAGAGGGGCATTAACTATTTCCTCCCCACCTTCTGCTCAGCCTTTCCCCATCCTGTGCGTGCCCGGAGCCCCCCTCACACTCAGCATCCCCCAGCCCACCCTGGCACCCTCCAGGGCTGTTCGGACCCATCTGAGCCCTGTCCGTGCCACCAGCGATGTTGTTTCTCATCACACCCTTCCCCCAGCAGCTCCCAGCGCTGGTAAATAAAAACCTGATCGGTTTTAGCCCAGACAGCAGCAGTTTGGACACCCAAACTGAGCAGGTCACACAAACGCACTCAGTGGAGCGGGTGCTCCCTGTGCCAGGGCTGGGCAGGCTCTGGCACAAGCCCAGGGCTGCTGTGGCTGCTGTGAGTGGCAGGAGCTGGAGCCAGGTGGGAGCTCAGACTCTGCTCAGGGTCCACCTGCAGCCCTGGATGCTCTGGACAGGGACAGGCAGGACAGGCTGGGGTCACACCTTGAGCTGCAGGCTCAGCTCTCTCAGAGCCCTTGGCCCTCAAAGTGAGCAGGGCACTTTGTGCATGCACAGAACATCGCTCCAGACACGGGAATGAAGGCTCTGAAGGAAGCTGCAGCCTTGGGAGCTGGCAGCATCTCCAGTGGCATCACCACCCTGTGGAGACCCTCACAGATGTGCAGCACCGTGCTGGAGCCAGCTCCAGCTTTTCTTCTGCCTCCATCCCTGCCGGGCAGGGTGTCCTGCGGGCCAGGCAGCCCTGGGACAGCCGGGAGAGCGGGCAGGGTGGCACGGTGCCAGGCAGGATGCTGGCAGGAGCAGCCAGAGGTGCTAAGCTGGTAACACTATCCCGCGGCCGAAACCCGATAAAGGACAGGGGGAGGTTTGCAACACGTGGGATTAACAAGGTCAGCTCAAGATTTTCTCAGGGTGAAAATCAAAGGGGAAAATATTTGCCTTGTGTGACTCAGTGAGTTCCTGAGCAGCCACCTGAGTTCCTGAGCTCACCCCGGCCTGTGGCCAGTGCTGAGGAGCCAAACCCGAGCCCTGCTGCTCGCTGTGCCCTCTGTAATAACCAGACACTTCCCAGCTGCTCTGCTGTCCCTACAGGTTTTCATCCACTCATTGAAACGACAAAAATCAGTAAAATCCCACCCTGATGCTGGTCAGCAAACAGGGACCATCCCAACCCTCTTGAAGATCTACCCTCAGTATTTGAGGAATTAGCACCCACACTCACCCTAAATCCCCAATTCCCAGTTTGTTTCAGTGTTCTGAGGTTCAGTTACCCCTGAGAGCTCTTCCCCACTGCTCATCCCATGGGCTCTGAAGGCCCAGTGTGTGCCTGGTGGAACCAGCCCTGCTGAGCCCCAGCTGGTCCCAGGGGTGGAGAGGGTGGGTTTGCATCACAAATTCCCCGTGCAGGGCTGGCAGAGAGCTGCTCCTTCCTGAGACACATCCCAGGCACAGGCAGCAGTGCCCAAGAATCACAGAATCCATAATTTAGGTTGGAAAAGCCCTCTGAGATCATCAAGCACAAGCCCAGCATGAAATCATGTTCCTGAATGTCCACCCACCCTAGCCTGTGGCACCTGGAGCTGGGTGGGACGAAATTCTCTTTGTGAAATGTGAGAATTTAAATATAAGCACTGGAAAACACCTTTAAAAGCTGCAAAGAGAATTAAAAAGAAGCAACAAAAAAACCTAAATGTTCCTGTTTGGAAGCAGAAGCCCCATTCCTGGAGCTGGGACTGAGAGTAACTCAGTGGCTTCAGCCACTTCAAAGGGGACCTGATAAACCCCAGGGGTTCAAAGTTCCAGGTAACCTTTCAAAGGCGTCAGACGTGAAAAACAAAGCCACGGCATCACGCAAATCCTTATCTGTGTCCCGTGGTGCCACCAGGCCACAGGGCAGTAAACACCTCTGGAGGTGTCAGCACAGGGCTCTGCAGCCTCCCTGTGCCACCAGGGCCACTGCTGGTCCCTGTCACCGGCGGATGGAGGGCTCGGGGTGGTGGCCTGCCCTGTGCCACTGGGATTTCTTCCCAAGAGCACTCCTGGTGCTGTGAGTGACCCAAATCACTGCTCTGCCTTTCCTCAGTCGCTGCCCCATTGTTCCACCCCCAGTCGGGGGGTGACACTGATGGCGTTGGTGTGACTGTCCCCACCAGGGTGTGGCTGTCCCCAAAAGGGACACACAACCAGCCCAGGTTTGAGGCACGGCCGTCCCCTCACCCTTTTCTTCCCAGCCACACCAAATGTTGGGGCTTCTCCTTTCCCCCAGCCCACGGGAGCTGCTGTCACCGTGTCCCACCCCAGAGGACACCCGGGTGTGGGGCTGTGTGGGGTCACAGGGCCCTGCCTGGCCCTGGGGCTGGGGACTGAGGGGTCTGGGGACATGGCAGGGCTGAGAGCCAGCACTAGAGAGGATTAGGGGCTGTGGCCAGTCCCAGTGAGCTCTGGGACATGCTGAAGTCTGCAGCAGGAGCAGCCTGCTGGGATTTTGGGGTGTCCCCATCCAGCCTGGCATGGGGCTGTCCCACTGTCCCACCCCTCACTGCAGTCCTTTTGGGTTTGCAAAGCCCCACAGAGGTGCTGAGTGCTGTGGAGAGGATCCCAGCACCGGACAGAGCCCGGAGCAGGAATAGCAGTGGAGAAATCCATGGAGGACTGGTTTGGTCACGATGGGGTGGTCCCTGTGCCAAGGGCTGGGCAGCAGCTCCTCAGGCACGACTGAGCCACCCCAGGGCTCACACGGGAGAGATGTGACCCACAGGGATGGACAGGGAATTCCCTAGGGAATTCCAGTGATTTATACCTGGAGAACAGCCTGGGCCTCCTGCTGGTGCATCCCTGCTGCCCAGGAGGAGCTCACTATCCCAAATTCCCCAGATTTAGCTCTGAGACAGGCTGGACTCTGTCCTGGATGAATAATCAGCTCCTCAGAGTGTGGACAGACACAAATAGTGGTGATCTCCACTCGTGCTGACAGAAGGGAAAATGTGGATTTGCCTCCTCTCACTGCCCTGGCTGAGCTCCCTCAGGTCTGCATGAGTGATAAACAATACAGAGAATAGGAATTATCAGTTACAATATAGAGAATAGAAATTTTCAGTTACAAAACAGAGAATAGGAATTTTCAGTTACAATACAGAGAATAGAAATTTTCACTTACAATACAGAGAATAGGAATTTTCACTTACAATATAGAGAATAAGAATTTTCTGTTTTTCTCAAGTTGCTGAATGGAGTTGAAAGATTAAATACTTCGAATTGTGTTAGAAAGTTTATTCTGGCCCATTTTGGTATCACCAGCATCCCTGGGGATGGGGCTGAAGCCAGGGCACCAACAGAGCCTCATTCAAACCCTGGGTGAGGCTCAGGGCAGTGAATCCCTCTCCCACCAGATCCCACCAGGACACTGCATCTCTCTGGCCCCAAATGCTTTATTTCACTTTAATGCCCTTTAATCACTGATTCTTTCAGGCTGGTGCCTGAGCTGCCTCCTGGCCTTATGGCACAGCTGCAGCACCACTCCTAAAACTCCAAAAACTCCAAAAACTCCTAAAAAAGGCAAAGCAGGCAGCGCTTTCATCTAAAATCTGTCTGCTGATCTCTGACCAGGGGCGACAGGAGCTGCTCGTGCTCCAGGTGCTCACGTCCAAGAGCTGAGCTCCTCTGCAGGCACTGACCTCAGAGCCCCGAACAATGAGCAGCTTCATTTCAGGGCTTATCTCCTCCCATCCAAACCTTCGGGCCTTAATGAGTTGCCCAAGGCCACA